AGGTTCAAAAAGGCGTTAGGCATAAGACGGGCATTGAGGCTTTGCCTACCGCCTAGTTCGCCTGGGCGTAGACTAAGCGTGCCTAGGTGTTGGAAGAAAAATAGCTATTGGCACTACATGATGAATGAAATAATAATCTACAATATTTCTTCACTTCAGTTAAAATGATTAATAACTTACTCAACACTTAATGACAAGAACATAGCTCACGAATTCATAGAATCATAGATCAGTAGCTCACAAAGTTCTTGAGCTATTGAAAATATTGATATAGAAAATTAATTTCATAGTTGACGTTAATTTTCTCCTTTAATATTGACATCCTAGCTCCATCTATTAATTTTTAGGAGAGACTTATGTGTCACCTTACTCAATTGACGTGTTCCAGTATCTAATTAGGCGCGAAACCACAAGGGGAGGCGTTTTGCCATTGCCTTGCGCCTTGGCGTGCATAAGCGTAAGATTAAGCGTGCCTTTTTGAACTATGAATATAAGTAATAATACTACTAGTGCTAGAATATTTAAAGTGAAAAAATTAAATGAAAAGTAAAGTGTTCATTAAACATTATTTTAATTAAAATAAAATAAAAGCAAAGAAATAAAAAGATGGAAATCGGCCCCTAGATTCCAAGTTGTCTTTGATTCATAGTTGGAGCATATGGTAGTTGCACATCGGAGGCTCTTTCTTGTAAGGATGGTCCATCATAGTTCATAGTCACCTCCATTGGTTGATTTTTTGTGCTTGATTTGGTTGCTCCTCGCTCTGAGCTTATGGTTCCTCTCTTGGAACTTGTGGTTATTCTCATCATGGGCGGTTCCGGTTTCTTCGTTGTTGAGAGCTAAGAGAACTAGCACTCTCACTCTCGGTTGGATCGCCATTAGAAGCGAAAAATCACTAAACATGTTCAAACAAACCATTAGGCAACTCACTAGATCAATTGAACAACAAAATCCATCATCAGGTTCACTCTATACACCTCCACACTTAAGTGTTACAATGTAGAAACTAGGAGTGCATAGGTAGAAAGGCATGTTATAATGACTAGAGTCGACATCCATATGCCTGAAAATAAGGGCGACATGTCTTTCTCTAGGTTTCTAAACCCCGGCCGAAGGCTAGAATCAACTCATTTGACAACAAGCAAAGCATGAACTCTTGGCTCTAAAAGCATAACGAAGCACAAATTCAAAAGTGAGCCAAAATTTCAAACTCAAGGAACATGAATCAAAAATTTAATCATAAGTCATAAACACACCCCTAAGGGTCTATCTTAATCAAACAAGTTCAACTGAAAATCCATGGATAAAAAAATAAGTTTTATGTGGTTTGGGCATTTCATCGAGCACTTGGTGGGCAACATCAAATCCACAAATTCATAAAGATAAATCCTGCCAAGGGCTCCAAACACAAATACACAATCATAAGCATACATTTTATGATCCTATTGCACTAGCCATGCCATACCCTAGCCATAAGTAGCTTAATTGGTAGGCCAAGCTAGCACCCATGCTCAACACAACAAGAATTCCAACCATTCCTTATGCATGAAAATAATACTTGACATTGAAGGAATTCATTAACTAACTAAAACTATTAAAAAAACTACTTAAAGCAAATTCAACATGCAAGTTTTATTTTTGAAAAGTAAGGAAATGCAAACCGGTTGTTGGGGTACCTCCCAACTAGTGCGTCGTTTAACTCTTATCGGCGGACGTTTATCTTCAAGTATTCATTCCAACTAAGAACCTCCTTGAATTTGAGGTTCTCATCGGTGAGGTGGTGTCTCAAGTCCCGAGCATTGGACGATTCCATGGTCGAGGGCTCGTGAACTTGAATTGTCATGAGGCTCCACCCACGAGACCTCTCCTTCTTTTCTTCATCTATCTTCTCTTTGCCCCATACCATGTAATACAAACTCGATTGACTTCCATCGCATCCACCAAGAGGGATCGTTAATCGTTTGGTCTTGGCGCTTTGCAAAGAGTCACAAATGGGTCATTTTCGATTAGCGCATCAAGGTTGGGTGGAAAGCTTTGGTAGCATGTAACTTGTGGAACCTTCATCCGTCCCAAATTTGTTCTCATATTGGACTTCATTTGCATCCTCAACCTCCATTCCTTCCTCTTCACTTTCTTCCTCCACTTGGGAACAGTCAAGGTCTTCCTCTTCTTTAACACTCACTTCGTCATCCTCAACCTTCTTTCTCGCCCCTTCTAGCTCCTTTTACTCTTCAAATGATAGGAGATGATTGTGATCAAGTCGTGCATATACTTTGTCGAAAATCTGTACTAGTCTATCATTTTTTTTTTGGAGGATCTCCACCGATATTCGTAGTAAGGATGAGTTGGTAGGGGTGGTGGTTGAGGACTCCACATTGGAGCTTGCTTCAATATTCCGGGCGAACCGCTCCACCATGAGCGCCAATTATCTCATTGGATATTGTCGAGTTTAGCAATATTGTTGCACACTTGAGAATCCTCCATCGGATCCCCGGGTAAACCATTCCACCAAGAGTTCCAATTCGCTTCTTGGCTCCGGTTGTGGAAGGAAATATTCTTGGAATGGGGAATCCTCTTCTTATTCCCATTGTCATGGTTCTTCTTCTAGGAAGGGATTTTGGTAAAAGAATCCGAACTCTTGACTTCCACCATCTTGATTGTTCCATGAAGCTTCGGGGTAACCATCCTCGGATATTGATGAGTACCCCCACACTTTGGTGAATCATAAGATCCATGATTCAAAAGCTATTACACAAACAAAAACTCTAAAAGAAAAATCTAACACACACAAACCACTCTTACGGGAGAAGAGTGGGTGAAAACAAAGCACAAACGAGAAAATAACAAAACACACCAAAAACACAAACATGAACACAAAATAAAATAAACAAACAAAAGAAGATAAACACTAAACTAACAACTTAATGGTTTTCTACTTGAGTACGTGCAGATCATTGTCAATGGTTAGCACGTGTCAACAACTATCCCATCCTAAGACAAGTTTAACTTGACTTGGCATTGTCTTATAGTGGTAATCAAGGTCGAATTTTACTCGGGTCCTGGTAACCTAGCCTAATTCCCACCTTGTTAATTAGTTAATCGGTTTTCGAGGTTTTGAGTGAAGAATTTGAGGGAACCACTATTTTAGAGATTGAATAAAGCTAAAAGCAGGTACTTCGGGGAACTATCCCTCACCCAGGTCCTAGAGGTTGAGGAAGCTGCCTCCTCTCTTCTAACTCCTACTCCTTCTTCTCCTCTTCTCCTTCCTTCAACTTCTCTATCCTCTCTCTAAAACCAGAAATTCTTCTATCAAAAATCAACTCCTCTAAAAGGGGGAAAGAAGTCATCTATTTATAGGCAATCTGAGGATGGATAACTTCACGACCAGAAGGGCAGGATCTTCAGAGGAGAGGCCGTGATCTTTAAACGCAGTCATACTAGCCTTCGGAATTGAGGAGATTGCGGGCAGACTTCACGGTTGCGATCCGCGAGTTGCGGCTTGCGATCTTCCTCGTGGTGAAAATGCATTGTGGCCGTGATTCAAATGGAGGAACTCTCTGTTCTCCTCGACTCCTTCTTCGCAAAGTGCTCAAAGCCCTCCAATTCGCGACCACGATCTTGGGCTTCCGGGCTGTGATCTTTAGCTTGACTTAGCGGTCGTGATCTTTACTTCTAGGCTAAGATCTTGAGTCTTCTACCTCCTTGATACCCGTGTGACCTTGTTTTGTACCTAATTCGATTATATCATCTAACACACCCTAAAATCCCATCGAAATCATATAGGAACGGAGTAGGGATGCAATTGGCGATGTTTAAGCATTTATGCACATTAATTGGCACTAAACAAACCTCAATTTGAAGGGTAAATAACACCAATTTAGGTGTTATCATACAACATGTGCTTAAATTAACTATTAATATTTGGGGTCGTGAGGACTTGAACACGGATCCTTACTGTCAAACCAATTTAAGTGTCATGCCATAAACCAACTGGTCTCAATAACTTGAGTTGTTGAGATAGGATCATATATGAATTTTATACTACGTCCTTACATTTATCACTCGACCACCGATACTGGTTTAGCAATCCACCTTTTTGTTAGATTAAGAGGGTTGGTTCATGCTGTGATTTCTCATTAGGTGATAGTTTGCTTTGTATTTCATTTTTTGGTATCTAGCATGGTTGTCCTGTCGGCAAAATGCTGACTAATTGAACTTTGTATAACCGATGTCGGTAATGAAATAGACTAGAATACAACTGGTATGACTGACATGATCCCTTTCCAGCCTCTAAACAAAATGACATGGTTTTAGTAAATTTATTTAACGAAAAAATTAATTTGTGTTGAGTATCTATTATTTTGTTTGGAATGTTTTATTTTATTTTAAATATGAATGTAGATTGTAAGTATATTGTCTTCAAATATTTTTTATATATACTTAAATTCATTTGATGTTGATGAGTTTTCACATTTCTATATATTTTGTTAAACTGACATGAATCGGTCATATCCCTATGGACAGTGGCGGACCCAACATTTTTCGAGAGGTGTGTCAGTCGCTAAAATTAAAATAATAAAAACTAATTCATAATGTGTACAATTTTATTATTTTTCATATCGATCAACAAAATTTTATTTTATGAGAGGTTTGTGAAATACATTTATCGGTTATTTCAGTAACGTAAATATTTTTTCAATGCATATACCTCTCCTAAACATAGGTCTGCCCGTGTCGGACAAACCATATCACTCACTTTACCGACACCACGATATAGACAGGTTTGACAATTTGATATCCTGTCAAAAGAAAAAGGGAAATTTTGCTACAGCCAAAAAAATGTGCTGAAAAAGGAATCGGTTCCAAATATTGGGGAAGGCATTGACCATGTCTCTCGAGTATCCCAAAAGAGTGGGAGGGTAGCGTACCACTCATGAGCCATACAAGGGCTATTTCAAATGTTTGCTTCTTTCCTCTTTCTATTTTCTACTGTACGTTGAAATTCCTGCTAAAATTTAAAAAAATTGAAACCAACAAAAAAAAAAGAACAAGAAAAAAAATCATATAGAAAAAAAAGTGAAATCCTGTAGGTCTCCATCCTGAAATGCAATCACCAAAGCGCAAGTTAGTTTTACATGACATACATTTTTGATAATTCACTTCGACATTGGACAGTTTCACAACTCCCACGGTCTAGAGCCCGCCAATCGGATCTCGTGCTATTTCTTTCATCCCACATATTGGCACCATATTCAGGTAGTGTTTTGGTGATCCTTTCTTCCTCTCTTATAGATTGGCGATTATGGTGTTTTCCCCCATGTTATTGCTGGAAATTCAGGAGCTAATTTATTTGTTTGTTTAATTCCCTCATTCAGTCAACGATAGGGTTCGTCGGATTTGAAATTGAAAGTGTAATCATCCATTGGCGATAATTATGATGGAGAGAGCAGAATCAGGGCAAAAACTGTACACGCGTTTGCGACTCTGGGAATTCCCTGATCAATATGTGATTGAACCAACGGATGGATCTTCCGGTGCACCCTTGGCCATTAGTAGGAAAGATGGCTCCATGTCTCTCATCGGTAACTTGCTTTTGTTTTCTACCATTTCATCGGATTCTTCTTGGACGAACGAACAAACTTATGATCATTCCTCCATTTTACCACAGACCAAGTGCCACAATGCAGTTCTGTGAGGGTTCCGAAGATCCAGACTATTTTCGGTGTGGTCGGGCTACTCAAACTCGTCATAGGTGAATCACATTCTCTTATCATCATAATGAAATGGATATGCATTGCCTCACTATTTACTCTTTTTTTTTTTTTTCTGCGAACCACTTGGCATGATTTATTTTCAATTTTTGGCATTAGGTTAGGCAATCTATTCCTCCCTAGTGCTTTGAATCTATAATCTTTCCAAAATTTTGTTTATGCTTGGTTTGTGTATTTATCAGGAAATTCAGTTCAAATGATAATGAAATTACATGTTCCTTGGAATTTTACTAGAGTTTGCCCATACAGGCTGAGAGATAAAGAAATTTCGACCATCGTTTAACATCTTTTGAAATGTTTGAAGCTATTGGAATTATTCTATGCAGGATCATACTTGATAGTTGTAAATGACCGTGAATGTGTTGGGTCCTACATGGGACATCACATCTTCAAAGTTACATCATTGAAGGTTTTCCCTTGTGATCATTCCCTGAAAAGTAGTACTACTGAACAGGTAAGTCTTCTGCACTATGACTTTGTATTTTCCATTTCCACATTGAATGGAGATTTCAACTGTTTCATACTGGCTTTTGCAGAAGAAGGTAGAAGCTGAATTCTCTGCTCTTCTTAGTGTTGCGGAGAAGACTCATGGTCTTTATTTCTCATATGAGGCGAATTTAACACTAAGGTGATGAGTTTTCCCCAATTTAATTTGAATCTTGTCATGTGGGGTACGTTCCTTTTTTGAATGTTTGGATGGAAGTTATACATACTAGGTGTCTCAGTTTCCCATAAAAAAATTTCTTGAAAGGGCAGTTATAGCTCAAGCTATCCTGAAGCAACCACCAGACACCAGTACATGATTCATTATTACTTGGTCATGCTTTATCCAAAGAAGCCCACCATTAATTAGCGTAAAAATTGTGGTACTTAATTCACATGTGAAATTTTATACATTTGCATGATACATGAAATGAAAATTTGTTTATGGAGTTATTTATATTCAAACTTGGATTCATTCATGTAATATTGTTCCTCTTCGTTCAGTGCACAGCGATTACATGATCTAGGTGATGAGTCAAAATTGGTTCCTCTGTGGAGGCAGGTAAGTCTTGTAACTATTAGTATAGATGCTCGGAAGTGTGTTCTCTGATTCTTTCCCTATTACATCATCTCCATCTGATACTATGCTAGATGTCAATTATTCTTCCACATTCATGCTTTTCTTTTACAACAGGCAGAACCAAGGTTCCTATGGAACAATTACATGATGGAAGTCCTTATTGATAACAAGGTCGAATTCAGAAATTTGATTGACTTGGCTTGTTTAGTTTCTTTTCTACCCTTTTGTTCCTTAGTTTGGTGTTTTGTGCTAACATTATATCTTATTTTTTCTTTTCAGCTTGACCCATATCTTCTTCCAGTTATCCAAGGGAGTATCCTTAAGACTTGCTTAATGTCTTACTTGAATATTTTAAATTGAAGCCATCCCTGGGTAATCATGCCTTGCAAACATACCTCTGTTCAAGTTATCCTTAATTGATGCTCAGGCTTTCAGAACTTTCAAGCAGCCATTGGAAAAGACATAGTTGAAGTCACATTGATTGCAAGAAGATGCACTAGGAGAAATGGTACTTAAGCCATATCGTGCATCTGTAAAGTTTTATGCTCTCACTTATCTTTGTTGTTTCATTCACTCCATTTCTAACTTAATGCATTGGTTATGAATTCAAGGAAACGTAAGGAAGTACTGCAATGCAATTGTTGTGTTTCTTTTATTAGGAATATAATTTAACCTTGGGTAAAAGAGAGATCAATATCTTCTGTGAAGTTGAAACATTCAACTCTTTTAGTGTGACATACATTAGATTGTTTCTACTCCATCTGGATATATCTTAATTGTCTATTGTTTCTCTTTGAAGGCACTCGGTTGTGGAGGCGTGGAGCTGACCCTGATGGATATGTTGCTAATTTTGTGGAGTCTGAACAAATCGTCCAGATAAATGGATTTACAGCATCATGTGTCCAGGTATCCTTTAGGTACTTGGTGAATTGTGATTTCTCTCCTTCAATAGGTAAGGAGTTAATGGCGATTGGCATTGGTTATTGAGTTGAAGCATGAGCATCAACTCTGTGGTTATTCATAGCATGAGTACCAAACCAGTGCTGCATTCTAATATTTTTATACAATGACTTCTATCAGAGTTCATGTTCTTCTCTTCAATTGGCTTCTGCAGATCAGGGGCTCAATGCCCTTCATCTGGGAGCAAATTGTTGACTTGACATACAAGCCTAAGTTTGACATTATCAAACCTGAGGAAGCAGTAAGTTTTATTTCTCTAACGCAAGTAGTTTTAGTAGGAAAGCAAAATTTTCAAAATGTATATGTACTAAAAAATTATTGCTTATATTGCTTTTGATTAGCCACGGGTTGCGGAACGTCATTTCTTGGATTTGAGAAAAAAATATGGCAGTGTACTAGCTATTGATCTTGTCAACACGGTGTGTATTCTCTTTTTAATGAATTGATTTTGGATATTTATTGAAATTTGTTGGAGTCATTGAACTTTTGTTATTAGCATGGAGGTGAGGGACACCTAAGCGAAAAATTTTCGACAGCAGTTCAGCCTGTTCTCAGTGACGATATAAGGTAGGATTTCCATTCACAAAATTTTGTCTCTTTGTGTCACATGCTCTTGTCACTGATAATCTCTCTAACATGAATGAATGTACTGTAGATATGTGCACTTTGATTTCCACCAAATCTGTGGGCATGTTCACTTTGAGCGCCTTTCTATCCTCTATGAACAAATTGTGGATTTCCTGGAGAAGAGCGGGTAGGATAACTCATCCATAGAATACAAGTCTCTAGATTGCCTCTTCTGGTCATGTGGAGGCCTTGGTTGCCATATCATTTAACCACAGATTTCATTTTGTGTTTAACTTCGTCTTATGGTTGGCAGTTACCTATTGGTGAATGAGAAGGGTGACAAATTGAAGGAGCAAACTGGGATTGTAAGGACAAATTGTATTGATTGCTTAGACCGAACTAATGTTACACAGGTGGGTTTGTCTACCCTACTTGTTTAGACTAAAAACCGAATAAGACATTGTATCTAGCATAAGATCCTTCTTTATTTTCAACATCGCATTGAACCCATAGTGTATTTTCTGCTGGTGTTGGATCCAGTTCATATGCCAACTGACAGGACTAGTAAAGTTGAAATGCAAGACTACAAGGCATCATATTTCTTCTTATTGCAGTACTTACTCTTTGACACCTCACTTGGATTTTCACTATCTTTGGATTATTAATGGCTTTAGGATAATCTTTGTAGAGCATGATAGGGAGAAAAATGTTAGAACTCCAACTTCGAAGAATTGGTGTTTTTGCTGCTGAGGAAACCATAAGCTCGCATCCAAATTTTGATGACGTTTTCAAAATAAGTGAGTCGATTCTCTTCCATTTACTCCCTATATTAAGTATATATGTCACATTTCTTATTGTTTGTTGGTTTCAGTGTGGGCTAATCATGGAGATGATATAAGCATCCAGTACTCAGGCACTCCTGCCTTGAAAGGAGACTTCGTAAGGTATTATTTTGTTCCTCTAGAAGTTTCTTGGCTTAGGCTTTCTGGCACGTTTAATTACCTGGATTGGATGTTGTGCTGGATTGTCACTCAAATGGTTCAGATGTATGATATGGTCCAGTACTTTCCAAAAGTGAGTGATGCCAGTTGGTAGTATATTCGGCATAGTTTCCAAAAGAGATCTTGTCATATAGAAATGTCATTTGATACGATGACCGATATGGTTTTGTTGCTTCTCCTCTGAAAATCCTACATGCTTGCGATATACACAATCACCCATAAATATTTTTTGGGGAGATACAATTTATTAGCCAAACCTTTCAAACTTTTCAAATTATTAGCCAAACCTTTTGAAATACAAAATATTAGCCAATTGTTAACTTGTCGTTAGCAGTCTTGTTTGTAATATTGAATTGGAAATATGATACTAACTTGGAAGAGACACATTGAGGTCAACATAATTAATATTTGTATTTTAACTTAGAAAAAAGTTACAAAATTACTAGCGATAACAGACAAATGACTAATAATTCGAAGAGTGTGTTTGTGAAAGGTTTGGCTAATAATTCGAAAAGTTTGAAAGGTTTGACTAATAAATTGTATTTGCTCATAAGTCCCCGAAGACAAATTTGGAACACACTGCTTCTGGTGGAGTTGTTTAAAAGTGCAGAGCGAGTAGTTTTGAGAGTCATTTACCATCATTATACATTTATCGTTTCCCTTTCCCATTTAAGTGCCTCCTTATGCCTTTATCTAATGCATTGTCCAAAAATATTTTATTTCCTCAATTGTGGAAAGTCGTATTTATGGAAACTTAATCATGCCACTTGCCAATATTTGCAGGCTTGGGCGTCGTACAACTCAAGGGATCATTACAGATGGTATTAATGCCCTTGTCCGCTACTATTTGAATAACTTTGCCGATGGCACGAAGCAGGTTTGAACTTCAGTCTTCATTTGATATAGAGTGTATACAATGACGAACAAATTGTACTGCATCTCTTAGAAATTGGGCTACCCAATAAGATCTTCTTGGCATTAATCACTTGAATAATTTTCAATGAATGATCTGACTAATACTTTCTTGTATGAATAAAATTAAAGGACGCAATTGATCTCGTGCAAGGACATTACATTGTTTCAGTAAGTCGGGATATGAAAGCATCATCTCAAACTGGAGGGCTCGAGAGTGTAGCTGTAAGTCTCTTTTTGTGCTTTCAATTCCATTCTAACCAACGTCTAGAATGAATGCTAATGTCTAAACTGAGGGACTACTTATCACATCTAACCTTACAATTTTTTGAAGCAGTCCTTCCCGCTGGCGTTTGCGGTGATCATGCTTGGGTTCTTTTTTGCGTTGTTATCACTAAGGCAAGGTGTGTTGCATTTTCTAACAATACTTCTTTTGCTTGAAATCCTCATTTTCCAACGGCGAAAAAGTTATAAGGGTTCCGAAGTTGAATATGTATATATTATTGTTGTTGGTGCAGTGCCATACGATATGAAGCACTTATTCTTCTCATTATTGTGGGCAAGCTTTACAGTGGGCATTGCAGCATTTGTTAGGGCAAATGGGCGAATTTTCTGCAACCGGCCTCGTCTGCATAAGCCTAGATCATGAACCCTTTTAACTCAAGACTTCTCATGCATACAGATTTTGTTGTTCAAATTCAGAACAGCCTCGTCTCCATAATGAGTTTTATGTGCTCAAACTCACCCATCTTATCACGAGCACACCCTACTTGTTTTTCCCCTTCTTTTCATGTGATTTATTTTCATCATCCCTTCTTCATGCCCTTTTTGGTTATATTAGATTATCAATGACAGTGGGAGAATTTACTTGTGCCACTATGAACTACGACAATAATTTGTTATGACAGTTGCTAAAAAGTAAGCTATATTTTAAACCATAGTAGTCTCCTTATCTGAATGCGGTGAGATTATTTTGTTCTATCTTAAATATATTCTCTTTATGTTACGCTTTATTCACTATATTTTAGACCATAGTAGTCTCCTTACATGAATATATTCACTATATGTAACGCATTATGTGAAATTATTCTCTTTACAATTGTAATCCAACCAAACATTGTTTCTTAAAGGGGCTACCATTATCGTTTGGCAGTCGATTGATGGGGTAATTGACTCAATTTTCATGATTTATATAGGTATTGGATCGGACTTTAATAGACTCATGCACACTTTTAATTGTTTTGGGTTGGACTTGAATTGAGTCCAATTTAGGTGAACTAATATTTGTTAAATCTAAATTGGTCTATTTGGATCCAAATAATTGTGTACACAAAAACAATGTCAACCATCTTATTAATTGTCATCAATCTAGTTACACTTTTAATGCATATTTCTGTTGTTTCATAACAAAAGATCAAAACAAAAATTGCATCAGAATTGGATGTCCATTTTTTTGCACCCAATACTATATGTCCAATTTAGACCCAAACTTAAAAGTTGGGTATGAGTATTCCCCAAAAATAATATAACCCAAACATAATTTGAACTATAATAACCAATAAGTTTAGTTTGGGCAATACTCAAATATGGAGTCTTTTTGTCATCCATAATCATTACACAGAAAATGCATAGGCCTTAAATGATTTTATCAAGTAACAATTAGTTTTCATAACTTAAACTATTGACAGTAAATTCTGAGTGACTTCATGTTTAATTTATTAAAAGCTCGTTCAATATTAGAGTCATTTTTTGTGAACTGGTTTGTTTACTAATGGATCAGAGTTTGGATCATGTACAACTAAGTTCAGTAGAATTAAGAGCTTGCTTGGCTTGCGGTTCTTAAGCTTGCTTCGGAGCTTACTCAATGGTGCACATCTCGAGCCAATTTAACTAGCTCGTGAGTGACAATATGTACCGAATCTTACATTTCTAAGATAAGTAAATGCATTGTGGAACCAACTATGAATTTGTAAAATGGAGTTTTAATCATATAGGCCGCATGTTATTACATCTTAACATATTTCATAAAAAACATACATTTCACATCAGTATTGAATTATCAATTGATGGGTTACTCAGTGCTTACTAATTGACTTATAGATTTTAAGGTTTACTTTATAAAAAATAATTGTTCACATCTACAATTATTTTTTCACTCCTACACCACATTAAAAAAAAAAAAATTGGAGAATTTAATGGACTTCAAATAAGCTAACCCGTCAAGTCAGAATAAATAGGTTAAACCAAGAGGTTTGGAATTTTATCATTTTTATCCGATTTATCAACAATGTCTTGGCTTCAAGATGTGAGCAATGTCATGGACCATGGAACTGTGGTTAATGGTTTCTGCACCAACATGTGATCCACATGTCCATGATATCAAACCATTGTTCAATCTTATAATGAATAACAATGTTATTGTGATCCCAACGGTGTCACGATAAACCACATAATAGCTGTAGTCATTGAAACTCATGACCTAGACTTTCGATCAATGTTGTCAAAATCGAACCAAAGATCGATCCGAATTTGGGAGAGGTTCAAGATTTATCGCTAACCGCTGATTAACCTGTACTACAAACCGGCGACACAATATCAATCAAGTCATGGCTTCATGACAATTCTAAAAATCAATATCACTTTACAATTTAAGAATTCTATATCTCATCTAGATATTTAATAATAAAATAAAATATTAAAATTTAATCATAGTACTTATACATCAAATAAAAATACGTGAAAGTCAAAATCATACCCAATAATTAATAATACTTGACAACCTATAATAGACACATAAAGAAATAATATAATAAAATTAAATTTGAAGAATCCAATAACTTTGTAAACAAAGTAAATAAAAATATAATTATTATTTGACTTTTAAATTCAATTTCTTTCCTTGTGTTGTTACTTTTCTTACTTTTTCTTTCCTTCTCTTGATCTTGTCGCTAGGGATGGCAATTTCGACCTGACCCGTTTTACCCGACCTGTTTAACCTGTTTTGGGGCAGGTCCGACCCGCCCCGTAGGCGGGGCGGGACGGGTATGGGTAGTCTCATCGACCCGACCTGCCCTGACCCGTCCCATTCTCGACCCGTTCTTGTCTAAATCACATGTAATCTTAGTCAAATTACTTAGAATTTTCTTTTATTGCATCATATTTTAGCTATAATAAAGTTGTAAATTAGTGAAAATCTCAACTTCTTCAATAATTTAACTACAATTGTCATAATATTGTTTGTTTTCGTAGTCTTATAATAAAAATAACGAATATTTCTAATGTTTTTCATATAAATTGCATACCCATTGGATCGACCTGTCCCAACCCGCGACCCGTGATCAATTACCCGACCTGGACCCGACCTGCCACGGGGCGGGTCTGGGTACCAAGAAACCCGCCCCGGACCTGCCCCATTGCCATTCCTACTTGTCGCGCACCCCAATCCCTCGTCTTAATTTTCTCCCTTTTTTTTCTTTCCCATAATCCCTCTCTCAATCCATATTTATCCCCTTCCATTTTTGTATTAGGATTCGAAAACATTAAAACAGGTTCAGATTTCCAAAATCGTCTGTTCGGATTTATTGGTTTTGTCGGTTAACCACGTTAACCAATCATAACCCAGCCGAAATGTTTGCTTGCGGTTTTAAGGCTTCCGGGACTGGACTAATGGGCGGATCCGGTATTTCCCGGTTGGACGGTCCGGTCCTACCCAATTTTAATAACAGTGTTGTTGATCCATAATAAGAAGTGTTGTGGCTTGTGGTGCAGAGTCGTGATTCACTCATGGTAGCTATTAGTTTAGAGCCGCGGTGGAAAGCTATGAAAATTTCATGAGGAAATCAACACCGCAACTTAGTGCATCACTGCACACCATGGTGCAAGTATGTAGAGCCATGATGCAGCCTTGCGTAGCTAAGTGCCAAGGAAGGTTGTGAATTTTGAAACTTAACATTGCAGTTGCTCATAGTGCATAGGTCTGGTACAACCATGCCAACTTGCAATTCCATGAAAATGGTTCAAACATTTTTTGGTCCTAGCAAAATTGTGGTTGTAACCATTTTGGCTCTGGAGCAACATTGAAGTCCTAAGCATGTCTCGGGCTTAACAAAAACGTGGTGGCTCAAATAATGTTGCAATGAAAGTTATGAGCCAATATTGAAGCCTAGTGGGCCATGGTTGCATGAAGAATGACATCGCAACTTGAACTACAAGGATTGTGAAACTGTACCGAAAGTTATACTGGAAAAGTCTGTAATAGGGTATTTTGTACTACAACGGTGGTTTAATCGTAGTTCAACCATTTTCAATCGCTAAAAGCACCTACCAGTTTGGGTCTAGTATATAGTCTTTCCGGCCTGACCGACATAGGGCATCTCCAGCTCGAGCGGGAGAAGCTGCAAGATAGGCAGGACTCATTGAACCATCGGGTTGACAAAATATATGCCAAACAAGCCAAACTGGAGGTTGGCATGAGCTTGGTCCTGTCCACCTTAGCGATCCACCTTGGGAGAAGACGACGCCATCTAGACAGACACCATTGCAGAGGTACTGAGGAACCATGGGAGTTCCCTAGAAAATCCCTTCTCAGTTCTCATATGTACTATAAATAAAGCCTTAGACTTGAACTTTTATAAACATATATACCGCACAAAACAGTAAAATTTTTGTTGAATCTCGATGAGGATGCCTTCATCATCATTAATGATGTCTTCCCCATCTCTTGTGGCGAACTAAGCTTGTATTGTTTAGGGATGTGAATTATTTGATGCTTCATGCATCTACTTCTACGAGTTAATGAGATGCTTTGTTCATTAGATGCCTATATCATTCGATGCCTTAGGTATTCAATGCTTACATAATTTGATGCTTTAGTTATCTGATGTCTTAACCATTTTATGCTTATTTCATCTATTATGTGCTCTTATGGTCTTGATAATAATATCATTATAGGTTGATAGAAAACTTCTCTTATATGTGATATGTTATTACCTTGTGTATGTATGCTTAGTTGGACGCGACTATGCATGCACATGTGAGATCAATATTTGATACTCTAGATCATCAATGTTATAGACAATTGATATGGTTCATAGAGACCCTAAGAAGTCAATGTGTTATCCGTACTTTCTAGTTTACTTAATTAGTTAATGACATGAAACGAAAACACGCACAACTAGTTGTAGGTCCTCTCGCATGTGGTGAAATATCGGTTAGAAATGTTTTAATGGCAGAGATAAGGTATTATAATAGTCTGGTGAATAGATGCATTTTATTAATGACATTGTATGCATGATCATCTAGATGAAAATGCCTTTTTATTGCTTTCATTCTTATTTTTGTTATTTTTGTTTGTTAAATTAAATAATAGAATTTCGGCCGTCAATAGTGAACCTCGACTCATCGTATTTGATTTTTCATGAATTACCATCTCAAATATAAGTAGTTATTTTTAAATTAGATATCATCAAAAGACTCGTGAAATACGATCCTAGACAAAAGCTAGGTTATGGCTTTGGTACATAATACAACATTTTCACCGCTGCAAAGTCTGTTGCCAAGATGTGAGTCACCTAAACCTCTAGGGTTTCCCCCATGCTTCTGCATGCCTCTTGGTGATATTTGATCCCCCGACTGGGACATCATTTGCAAATCATCTCCTCAAATTCCTTCTTGCCTTCATTACCTCTATGCAGTTTGATGGAGCGTGGATACAATCTTCTAGAGTCTGTCGTCTAGCTTGACCTGGTTCTCCACCCTCTAAACTCTTTAAAACATTCATCACTATGACATCCTCGACATAGACCATATAGCACAAAGATTGTTCTGAGGATGACATCTATGTTTCCTCCATAAAAATTTTGACGCCAAACAAGCTTTGATACCACTAATAGAAAGCACATCTCTAACGTCCATGATAGGGTTAGAGAAAAGGGAATTGAATATGGTTTAGGGATTTAGAGA